GGATTCTGTTTGTATCCAAGCGGCCTTGTTTGTTCTTTTGGGGAAAAAATCTTACCTTGTCCATGGTTTTGTCAGTTACGCTACAAATTGACACCTATACTAAATGATGCAAAAGCTTCACTTGATGTGGTGGCTTTTACTGCAATTTCATTGGGCTTGATCTATGTGGGTTCTTGCAATGAAGAAGTTGCGCAAGCAATTATATTTGCATTAATGGACCGCAGTGAGGCAGAACTGGGAGAGCCCCTCACACGGCTTTTACCTCTTGGCCTTGGCCTTCTTTACCTTGGGAAGCAGGTACAAAGATGTTTGGCAGCATCATAGAGATTTTTCCAGTAGCACCATTTCTATTTTCTCAAAAAACCTTATTTGGTGATACCAGGAAAATGTGGAGGCAACAGCAGAAGTTTCAAAGACCTTTCATGAAAAAATCAGAAAATATTGTGACATGACACTATTATCATGTGCCTATGCTGGAACTGGGAATGTTCTCAAGGTGCATTTTATGGCAGTTTAATTGCAATTCCCCCTTCCCTGTTGCAAACATTTATAATTGTTTATGCTTCCAATCAGGTGCAAAATCTTTTAGGTCATTGTTCGCAACATCTCGATAAAGGTGAAATGCACCAAGGTCCTGCTGTTATTGGAATTGCTATGGTTGCAATGGCTGAAGAACTGGGTCTTGAGATGGCAATTCGATCATTAGAACATCTTCTACAATATGGAGAGCAGAATATCCGCCGAGCAGTACCGTTGGCACTTGGTCTACTATGCATATCAAACCCAAAGGCAAGTACAAGCTTGCTTTCCTGTGGTTTTTCATTCTGGGAACAATGATTGTGTAAAATGCGCTCTTGATTCCACTGGGATAATGGCCTAGTTAATCACCTGATGAAATGTTGGGCTTGTTTGAAACTGTTTTTATTTTATTGGTTTGAGAACTAATGTTTTGTAAAATATGTTCTGAGAACCAAAAAAAAATGTAGGTGTTTTTTGCATTTTCTCTTGTTCTTCAGAATACTAATCCTAGAACACCTTAAAGATATTTTTGTTTTTCTTCTTTAGAACAATATTGGGGTTTTTTTTCTTGGTTCTCCAAAATATTTTCTGAAAACACGTTTCCACTCAAATTTTTTTTGTTTTTGTTTTGGAAAATAGAAAATTGTACCTAGAATAGATTGCCAAACAAGCCCGTTATTTTGCTTACAAGAGCTGTATGATTGAGTTTATTTTCTCTTGAAACCAATGACTTGCCTAATGATGTAACTGTAACTACTTCCTTGTTTATTTGTATACTTAACAAGGGTAGATACTGTAAACTATAGTTGTGAACAGTTTTGTGATGTTTGACCTAAGATTGAGTTGTAAGTACTTGGTGGTTTCTAACACAATTAGCCTATAATTCTTGTCATCTTAGGTAGATTGTTCGAAATAAATATTTTAGTCATCCTGAGAGTTGTTCTAATGCTGTCGATCGGATGTTCATGACAGGTCAATGTGATGGATACCTTAAGCAGGTTGAGCCATGACACTGATTCAGAAGTAGCAATGGTAAGATATTGGAGCCAGCTTTGTTTCGATGTTTCTGGTCTGTTTTCTGCTTACTGGTTGTGGCTGAGATAACAATTTTCATACTACAGGCCGCAGTTATCTCCCTGGGTCTAATAGGTGCAGGGACCAACAATGCACGAATTGCTGGCATGCTTCGCAATCTTTCAAGCTATTACTACAAGGACACCAGCCTTCTATTTTGTGTATGCTTCATCCAAGTTGCTTAAGAATTTCCTGACTTGTGGTTTTTGTATGGACACTAAATTGCTGTTGCCCCTTCTACAGGTGCGAATTGCCCAAGGTCTTGTACATTTGGGGAAGGGCTTGTTAACACTTAATCCATATCATTCTGATCGGTTCTTGCTATCACCGTATGTGGTTCCTCACTCACCCAGGCTGCTATTTTCTACCTTCCAAGTTTTCTTTCATCTATCATGTGAAAGAAAACCAAAAGTGACACGCATTGCTTTGTTGTAATTGTTTCTGAATGAAATTATTCTACTTCTCTCCTCACAGGACTGCCCTTGCTGGATTAGTTACCATGTTGCACACATGCCTTGACATGAAAGCCATTGTGTTGGGAAAATATCACTATGTTCTTTACTTCCTCGTTTTGGCAATGCAGGTTTGTTTTCATGTTGAGTCACATGTCCTGTCTAGTCACATGCTGAGACTCAGGTCTAAAGAATTTTTTTTTTTTAAACGTTGCAACAGCCGAGGATGTTGTTGACTGTGGATGAAAACTTGAAACCTCTGTCTGTACCTGTTCGCGTGGGTCAAGCTGTAGATGTTGTTGGGCAAGCAGGTCGTCCTAAGACAATCACAGGTTTTCAGACTCACTCCACGCCTGTCCTCCTTGCTGCTGGCGATAGGGCAGAGTTGGCCACGGAAAAGTGAATACACAACTATCTCAAACTTTTAGGTTACCATATTTTCAGTCTGATTATTACCAAATGCTGTTGTCCTTTTTGCTGCAGATATATCCCGCTTTCGCCCATTCTTGAAGGTTTTGTTATTTTGAAGGAGAATCCAGAGTACAGGGAAGACTAGAGAACCAGAAATGCGGCCTCTTCTTATTTTTCTACCCTTCCCCTCTCAATTTTAAGCATCTGATTAGTATGCTTTTAGAAAAACTGGCTGAAATACGTTGCAAAAAAAAAAGTGTATTTAAATTAAAGTATTTTTCCCCTTTTGGAATGAAGAAATTTAGTTTGCTTTTTGGAGGGGTCCATAATGTCCTGTGACTATTGAATTCCTAAGAATTCAAGAGCAGCGTTGGTTGTTTGACCTTGCATGCCCGATAATTACAAGTGAGAGACCAAGGAAAGCCAACTTCAGCAGGTTACTGTAATTGTTATAGTATTTGTCGTTTATATCTGTTTATTCTAGTTTGAAATTTAGTCATCCCCGCTTGTTAGTTGTGATTGTGACTTCGAAATCGGACATGGGATTATTCGGTGGCGTTCTGGAAAGTCAATGCCTGTGGATTAAAGGTGTTTTGAGAGAATAAATACTATTCAATGAGATATAAATTTATAACACGTAGGGAGAATTACATTTGAATCCCACACAAGAAATTAATTTTATAAGAGTCATTGATAATTGAATTAAGACTAATGATGATGAATTTTGTAATTATTAATTTGTGTGTGTGGGATTTTATGTAATTTTCTCTAATGCCTATATAAGTCATAATAGGTTCGCTTGAACTGGTTAACTCATGATTCTGATTAGTTTTACTTAAAATATCGAAAGTATGGCATATCATTTCAACATTCCCGTTTACAATTTTTTCCCTTCCAGAATTCTGCAGATTTGCAAGACTTGTACTTGGACCGATGCTTCTCCTCTGTTTCACATAATTGTTTTTATAAGAATAAATTGAAGGAAAAAAATAGGATAAATTAGCCAATCGAACAAAAAAAATTTTATACCCAGGAAATATTAATAAAAAATTTGGTAATGTGATGTGGTTGGTTTACATTGATATACAATGTGGCAAATATAATAAGCTGGTGATAATATAAAATATAATAAATGTTTAATTATTTATTTGGTTTAATTTTATAATATAGGTTATATTTGTAGGAGTCTCAAAAATTATATTAAAATTAACTTTATCAAAATAATTTAAAATTAATGTATTTATTAAAATTTTTTTTCATGTTATTATATTTTAAAACCAAAGAATTTAGTGAAAGTATATTATTTTTGTATTTAAAGTATTAAAAGGGGATAATCAATGACAATTAATTGTAATCCATATATACAATAAGACATAGCTTTGGTGAGATCACTACAAAGTGTCAAAAAAGAAAAGGAAAGTCATGAGGGTAGAGGCGCAGGGATGGTTCAGATGCTGAAGAAAATGCGGGAGAGGGAAGGGCATTAGAACAACAAATTTCCTCTAAAAATCTCTTCATATGTGGAGAAAAAAAATTGAAAAGAAAACATGACACACTCTTTATTTTCTCATCTATTTTTCTTCCCCATTTGAGCAGCAGAAAAATCATTTTTTTCTCTCTGTTTTCCTTTATATTTTCTCTCCATCCAAGCCAAGCATTATACAAATACTCTCTCCTGTCTATGTTATAAGATTGTCAAGGCTTCTTCGTACAGGAAATTTGTTACATAATTTGTTTAAAAATATCCAAGATCAATGATACTTGTCAAAGACATCATAAAGCGCTAGCTCAAGTTATGAGATTGTTATTAAAACTTCGAGTAAAAATAAAGAAAATCATTTAATATTTTAACACAATATAATCTGCTTCATAGATATGTTTTTTTCAACGTGGACAAACATTCTTGTTAATTCTATTCAAAATACGGTTAAGTACTAGTTGTAAGTAATTTTTTTCATTGAGAATTTAAAATATAGTTTACTAATTACGAGATACTAACTACTTTCATTGGGCCAGTCATATTGATACTTTATAGATAAGTTTTAATGGATGTTCTTAAAAATATAGTAAATAATAAATTACATTTCGGGAGAGACAGCATGCCAAAATCGGTGATAATTGCAACAAAATCTTCCAGAACCCACATCCGTGCAATCCCAGAATTCTATTGTTTCCCCAGAGACAAAAAAAAAAAAAAAGACAATTGCATTTCATGTCATGAACACTTTTGATTAATCACATTTTTCATTGGCTTTGTTTCCCGTTTACTCTGAAATTTATTTATTTTTAATGGCTCACATCTTTTCTTATTGAAAGTAATTCTTTTTTTATTCCACCAGTGATAACTATACATAAACTGTTATATTTATCATGTAATAGATTATTTTGTTACTGTCATGATTTTTTTATTCTTTTTAGTTTAATCTAAAAATAATGTATAACTGTTTTGCATGTATAATTTTTAGATTAGTTTTATAATTATTTTTATTTTTTGATATTTTAGGGTTGTAATTTACTGTTTGCCCTCGTTCCGTTACACGCACCGTTCAAGCCAGCTGCTTAACAAGGGAGTCCAGAGGCTACTTGGCCCCTGCAACGGGCGATGTACTAAAGTCAGGTCTTTTGGGTAGCCGTCGTGAATATTTTTGTTCCTTGGATACAATGAAGGTTAAGGTTATATCACGCTCTGCTGATGAGTTCACTCGAGAACGAAGTAATGATCTTCAGGTAATGCATGCTCTGCTTCTGTTGTTTTTTTTTGGTTTCTTCTGAATAGCGAAGTTACTTTTTTCTTTCCTCTATCTGAATTTGTGTTTTTGTTTATTGGAACTGGAAAAGAGGGTATTCCACAATTATGACCCGAGCATTCGTAGTCAAGAGAAGGCAGTGGAGTATGTGCGCGCCCTTAATGCGGCTAAGTTGGAGAAGGTAAAATTGTTTTGTTTAGCTTCAGAATTTTTTTTTGGTGTGAAGTTTCTAATTTGGAAAATTCAGATTTTTGCAAGACCTTTTATGGGTGCAATGGATGGGCATATAGACGCTATTTCGTGTATGGCGAAGAACCCTAATCATTTGAAAGGGATTTTCTCAGGTTCAATGGATGGAGGTACTTTTCTCTTGTTTTGATCCTATTTTTTTTATTTAGTTATATTCGCTTGAATTAATAGATTTGCCCTTATACTTTAGGAATATTTCATGCGGCATAATTCTGCATGGTTCAGGCTGATAGTTAGCTTCAGGATAGATAAATTGTGTACATAACGAATCAAAGAATACTGTTTAGCTCCTGTTTGAGGAATGAGATACGTAGTGAGAGAACAGGACGTTGTTTTTCCAAACTGACTAATATCTATCTAATTTACTGAACGTGGAGATGTCCACAATGTAGACATTAAAATAATTGGGATTTGGAACTTGAATTTGTTGTTTGAAACTTGAATGTCTTCAAGGCTTCAAGCTTGATAAAATTATTAACTTTTGAGCCTCCTTAAAGCAAATACAACCTTGCTTGTTTAATGTTAAGTACTAAAGTTTAGAGAAGCCAATTTCAGTTACAGAATCTTTCGTTGTGTACCATTTTTTGGGGTACAATCTACTGTCTTTTTCATATAGTAATAATTATGAAATATATCCAATTAAAACTTAGTCATACCTTGCGTAATTGACTCCCTAACTTTGAGCAAGTTGATTTTTTTTTTTAATTTATAGCAATTATTTCTGTAGTAAATGCCTCCTATATCAATTTACTAGTACTGTTCTTATTGTCATTGAGTCATGAATTGTAACTTTACACTTCAGTCATTTTCATGGTATTTTAAATTGTATTCATTATCAGCCTATCTCCTATTTTGTGACTCTGGTTTTACTGCTTTATCAATTTAGGCTGAGTATGTTGGATTGCCTAAGTGCAAGTAAACTTGTAACACTGATCATTGTGTTTGCAGATATTCGGCTCTGGGATATGTCTTCAAGGTAAAAAATTTGCTTAGTTTGATTTAAAAATGTTGCTTATCCATGATTCTAATGCAGTCAAATACTATATAATATTCTTTTTGCAATGTGGAACATGTTTGTGTGATTTACATGGGAACTCTTAATGATCAGAAAAAAGCCTAATGGGCATCAAAATCTATGTGTGGAATTTTTTCTACATGCATATGTTCATACTTTCAACAAAAATTGAAGTGTTGGCCTATGAATTAAACTTTTTTTGTGTTGTCGTGCCGAGTATGAATTTTTGACATGTGTTGAATCACAGACATTTTGCACCCATGATGCGAGATATTTTCTCTTGGAGAGTTTAAACACAAGATCCATACTTTTTATCCTGCAACTTTTTTGGTGTTCCTGTGTAAGTAGCATTCATTGCTTGTTTTTGGAAATAAAAAGGCGTACAGTTTGTCAATTTCCTGGCCATCAAGGTGCTGTACGAGGCCTGACAGTATCTACAGATGGACGAATTCTTGTATCATGTGGAACTGATTGCTCGTAAGGATCATTTTTCCCCCATTCAGTAATCTCTTTCCATGTTACCAAGCTTTCTTATCTTTTGGTTTTGGGCTTTAGTAGCTAATTTATATGATCAAAACTGGACATTCTTGCTTCAGTGTCAGACTTTGGAATATTCCTATTGCTGCACCTATTGAGTTAGGTGGCTCAACTGAGAATTCTGCTAAGGTGGTGCATTCTCATGTGTTTTATTGATCATTAGTTTTGTGCTAGATATGATTTTTTAAAGCATATTCTTGCTGACAATTTTGTAAACCACTATTGCAGCCCATTAGTGTTTATCTTTGGAAGAATGCATTTTGGTAAGTATTGGAGTGAATTTTAATGTATATCATATAGATATTAGAACCCCTGCTTCTTCTAAGGCTTTTATTTTTTTAATTTTCATTTTTAAATTTTAGGGGTGTTGATCACCAGTGGGATGGTGAGCTGTTTGCTACTGTTGGTGCTCAAGTAGATATATGGAACCACAACAGGTTTTGATTTCAGTTTCTGATCAGTGTACTTTCTTTAAGCTGTGTCTGAATTATTAATTCATTAATTATTTATTTCCTGATGATATTCTTCCCTTGTACAGGTCTCAGCCAGTTAACAGTTTTGAATGGGGATCAGATTCAGTAATATCTGTCCGGTTCAATCCTGGAGAACCAAATCTATTGGCAACGTCAGCTAGGTATGCTGGGATATATATGGACTCGTCCATTTGCAAAAGAGTGAAAGGACTATGAAGTACTGGTACTTTATGTTATATTGCCTAGTTAACTCCAACAACTTAACCATAACACCAAATATTACCATGGTAATTAGGGATTTACTATTCTAGTTACCTTAGCATGGTAAAAAAGAAATAACTGTAGTTAAAAAGAGCTAACCATAATAGAAAAGGAAAAGACTAAGGTTAAAGGTCTATTATGGTTAATAGAATTGAACTTATAATATGTAATTTAAAATATGCAATAAATGAATAGACCTTACCATGGTAGAAAGAATTAAAACCTAGATATTAGATACTAGTATACTAGAAAAGATTTAAGCCCATCAATAAACAAGTAAAGTTTAGCAAATCATTGGGATCCCAAGTTAAATAAATATTTCAAATCATTTCAAGGCCCAAACACGCATAAATCAGAGTTCAAAAGTATGTGGAAGCATGGGATACCCTTCAAGTTGGAAACAATAAAGACAAAGGAGTAAAAAATATCAATTTATTAAAATTCCAGAGCATCTACTGCAGCTAAGCTTCACTGCACCATGACTAACCTGTTTTGTACCATGCATTGCGGTGCACTACACAGAGTATGAACATATTTGCTATCAAAACACAGCTTTGAGGGCAAACTTTTGACGTGCCTCGAGCCCCCGTCCAATCTTCAATTGAGATGATCTAGTTGTCCTTATAAGGCTTATTTAGTGAACTAGTTGATGACATTGGTTTTATTTTCAAATTACATCATATCAAAAAGTTGGTCCTTTTTCACACTTTTAAACCTCCAAGGTGTCCAAATTGAAATTTAAGTGCCAAAAGCTCGCACAACTACTTAAACCAAGCTCAAGGGACTTAGGATAACCCATACAATGCACCTTAACACATATATATGACTCAAATCACATTTTTACTTTTCAATCCTAATTTCATCAAAAAGCATAGGGGAGGTAAATAGCATAAACTCACTAAATATCTATTTACATCCATCAAAATAATCATCAACCTACTCATACTAGTAGTTAGACCTTGATTAGACAGTAAAGGTCATATACAACAACACTTATGGGATTAAATACAACCAATCAATATAAATAATATGCAATGGTGTAAGTAAATAAAATAATTGTCCTAGTTAGCAATATCACTATTAAATTACATATATATGAAAATTAAAATCGGAGGCCTATAGTAGGAATGAGGATTCCTTAGCCTTCATGTATATGACTCAAATCACATTTTTACTCCTCAATCCTAATTTCATCAAAAAGCACAGGGGAGGTAAATAGCATAAACTCACTAAATATCCATTTACATCTATCAAACTAATCATCAACCTACTTATACTAGTATTTGGGCCTTGATTAGACATTAACGGATCATACAACAACACTTATGGTATTAAATACAACCAATCAACATAAATGATATGCAATGGTGTAAGTAAACAAAATAATTGTCCTAGTTAGCAATATCACTATCAAATTACATATATATGAAAATTAAAATCAGAGGCCTATAGTAGGAATGAGGATTCCTTATCCTTAAGAGCTTTTCCCTTGTCCTTTCAAGGAGCTAGTGCTTGTAAAATGTTAAATAAGGGTAAGTAGAACTGCTCAATAATCAAGGAAACCCTAAATCATGTACATGCAAGTCAAATCAATTAAGGCATGCAAATTGAGCATTTAAAAGCATTCAAGTGTACAACACAACATCAAATCTCACGATATCATGGATGCATGATCAAATTATTCTTTATTTCCTCCATATATTGCTGATTGAATATTTGAGCTGATAATTTAATAGGGCTAATTCTGTGTGAATGGACTAGCCTAAGTCCATCAATCGTGAGGAGTTATTTGGCCAAAAGTGCTATGCTCACTTTCAACCATGAAGTTCCCAATTCTTGAATTCATTAGGGTGTTGAAGGCCTTGACCTTTACCCAATTTAGGATGATGTTAAGGGCTAGGGGTTTGGACAACCTATGCTTACACCTATTTTTAGGTGAGATTTAGGAAGGCCCGACCCTAAACCAATTATCAAGGTCACCCATGATGTTTGTAATATCCACGTGGAAACAATATTACTAACTCCTCCTAAGGTAATCTCCTGTTCAATTTATGTTCATGCCAACATAATCAATGTCACAATCATACATACCCAACATGTCAATAATTCACATGCTAGAGTTTAGTTCACAATTTAAATATTCAAAATGGCATATTCAGTTTAACATTAATTCATTGCTCTGGCTTCAAATTTGCTGCACTTGCACATTTTCCAAAATGATAAAAATATCAAATTAAACCTTAAGAGACATGATTTCAAGTTTATTTAGTTATGAAAAACATTCATCGAGTTCATAAACAATCATAATTAATCTAACAAAAAATTAACATAAGATAGAATCTTATGGTTACTTCAAACCTTTAAGAACTCAAAGGTTGCCCCTTATATCACTTGCTTCCCAAGCTAGAGTTGAGCTCAAACACTTTGTCACAAGATTAATTTACAATTAACAACACCCATCATCACTAATCAACCACATAAACACCACTTCTAACTCCTAAACTCACACTTTGTCAGCTAAATTTCCCAACTGTAAGTTGAATCTCACAACCTGAGTTTATTAACTTCCCCTAACCCAATTTGGGCCTAGGTGGCCCAAAACACTTTTGAATTTGATCCAGAAGCTATACCCAAAACCAAAAGGTCCGTTAATCAATACTAACCATCCTTAAACCAGTTAATGCTCAATTTTACCTTGTTATCCTTGATTAATTAATTAATTTCGGTAGGTAAAATCCAGTATGTTATGCTTGAAATTGCCTTATGTATTTGTATTGGATACAATATTGATTTGTCAATACTTCTTTGATATGTATTCGTAAAGCATCAGAATGTTATTTTTTAATTTTCGATGTGTATCCAATGCTTCTAGATTGCGAGTTGACACTTCAAAGCCAATACATTAAAGATTGTGATATTAAACTTTTTATTACTAATATCTTTTTTTATTTTCTTTTAAAGTGAAAGATTAGATTTTTCTTAAAAAAAAAATAAGTTTTAGATGTATTAAAAGAATAAAGATTGCATTTTTCTTAATTATAAAAACGTGGGAATGCAATTTTATGATGGTTGAGGAGGAGGAGATATTGATACTATATGTAGTAGTAAGGACTAGGTGGTAGGCAATTAGATATAGAGAAAATAAAAATATAATTAATGGCAAAGTTTTCCTTGGTATTACTATAAAGGACTATGTATGTATGCTAGTTTGGATATTTTCTGAGTTGAAATTATATTTTTGATTTATAATTTTTTATGAATATATATGCATGTATTGGAAATCTATCGTATCCTATATTTTTAAAAATATAAATATCCATGTGATACATGTATTAGTATTTGTGCATCATAGAAGGACTATATTGACCAAAAATTAAGGAGGAAACTATGCTAAGCATCTCATTTCACAAATGGAATATGATCAAGGATTTGGTTTCCTTTATATAGCATCTAACTAATCTTCATTCAAATTTCAAGTCATGTTTGCTTTAAACTCCTTATTGAATGCAATTAGAAAAATGATGATCAGGTTATTTTACTTGTGTTCCTGGGTTAAGTTTTTTTAATCTACTTTCTTTTTGCAGTGACCGGAGCATAACATTATATGATTTGCGTATGGCTTCCCCTGTCAGGAAAATCATAATGATGGTAATGATCACAAATTTTTACCTTGCTTTGGAACACTAGTGGCTGGCCCTTGATATTCATGTTTCTGGCAATTAACTACATGAGTCAAATTATACTTGTGTTAATGCGTTCCAATTTCTATGTGGCAAGAGTTTTTGTATAGTTAAGTTCTTTTTAGTAAAGCATGTATTTCACATTTATTTCATTATGGATTATGGATTTGATTCTTAGCTAGTTGATACCTTTCAATCTTTTATAACTGGTGCCTTTTTTTGCTTTTTGAATATATATATATATATATATATCCATGGCAGCACTGACTTTTACTTCATTGTTACAGACCAAAACCAATTCTTTATCTTGGAATCCAAGGGAGCCATTAAACTTCACTGCTGTAAGTTCATCAGCTATCTAGCGAGTGTTTCTGAAGTTAAATTGCTTAGACATTGCTTAGACATTCTCATATTTGATATGCATCTGATACGACACATATACTATACTTTACAATGCATGTAATAGATTTTAAATTTTTATTATTATTTTTTCTTTGAAATATTCCAAAACAACTTAAAACTTACCCGAAAGTCAATATTTTGTTATTAATATTTTCAGATCACTTGTAAAATATTTGTTAGAAGCTCAAATTTTTTTATGTTAATTTTTTGTGTTAACTGCTTGAAGATATACATAATTTTTGTGTTGATTAATCTATTCTTTTTAACTCCTTATGGAATGCAATTACAAATCTTAATACTTTAAAATTTGTTGTATGAGAGGTATTGTATCGCACTCAACACATGTGCTTGTATTTGTGCATCTTTAGTTGTTGGGACATGTGTGCATAAGTTCATCTTTTTAGTTTGGAAATGTAGTGAATTGTGTTTCCTGATCTACAAATTCCTTTGATATCCAGGCAAATGAAGATGGTAATTGCTATAGCTATGATGCTAGGAAACTTGATGAAGCCAAATGTGTTCACAAAGATCATGTTTCTGCTGTGTGAGATTAATGGTCTTCAAATATTTTTCTCATTTTCTTTGGAGCAGTTGCATTTAATTCTGACATTAAGTTTTTTGCCCATCTTCCAGCATGGATATTGACTACTCACCAACTGGCCGGGAATTTGTCACTGGATCATATGATAGAACAGTTACTCCTTTGAATCTGCTTTAACCTATTAATCTATTCTTTTCAGATTTCCCTTTTGCTTATTGGCATTTTCTTGTTATAGGTAAGAATTTTCCAGTATAATGGTGGCCACAGCAGGGAGATCTATCATACTAAGAGAATGCAAAGGTTCAGTTGGTTTTTACACCTTGCACGAAGGGTTCCCCCCCCCCTTTTTTTTTGCTTACATGACAGTTAAACACTTGAAGTTAAAGAATTCTTGAGATGATTTGATCTATTTCTTTGTCGTGCAGGGTATTCTGTGTTAAATTCAGCTGTGATGCGAGTTATGTGATTTCAGGAAGTGACGACACTAATCTCAGGCTTTGGAAGGCCAGAGCATCAGAACAACTTGGAGTTGTAAGTTGTCATCCTCACCCTCTAATCTTTTCATTACTTATTTTTGGTCAAATTTATGAATGCATTTTGTCCTTCATTAAGTATAGAGGCATTTTCTTGGAGCTAATGTACTGGACTATTATGCTCATTTATAATATTTATTTGATGATTAGTTGATAAACTGATTTCTATATTTGATATCTTTCGTGCCTTGATCATTTATTGTGATTGTGCTGCAGGTTCTCCCTAGGGAAAGGAAGAAGCATGATTATAATGAAGCCCTAAAGAACCGCTACAAGCACCTCCCTGAAGTGAAACGTATTGTGAGGTAAGATATGACCATTCTTGTGAACTGTTATTGAGTAACAAAATTTGTCATACATTATATTTTTTTTTAGGGCGATGAAACCTTGCGACATGCTTGACACTTATTTCTTTTGGTTTTGCTCAACAGGCACAGACACTTGCCAAAACCAATATTCAAAGCCACTAGTCTCATGCGCGTCATGGCCGATGCTAGGAAAAGAAAGGATGAAAGAAGGAAAGCTCACAGTGCCCCAGGTAGCATCAAAACAGCGCCATTGCGGAAAAGGAGAATCATCAAAGAAGTTGAGTAAGATATATGAGCTTGCGTCTTCCTGGAAACAGACCTAAGATATATGAACTCTCAAGAATTGGAGATAGTATTCAATTAGCATGCCATTGGTGGGGCACCCTAGGATGGTATACATTTCATGCTCAGCTGATATCTGGGGTAAATGGAATGATGGCTACAGTTTGATACTTCCTGATTTCCGAGTGACTCCTGAGCTCCATGCATGGAAAAACAGATTAGTGAAACTACTAGTGATATTGTTGTAACGTTACTTGATTGAGCCTGCAACAAAATTTTGCTCTATTCTTTGTCCGTGAAATCTGATGATTTGCCGAGTTTGAACTCTAAAATTACTTGAGTATGTAACGAGGGGTCACGAGAAAATAATCATCTATATTCCCAGTCATGATGGACAACTCTTTGGTTTCGGAGATTTTACCGTTGCATGTTCCTATGGAACCAGAAGCACATCTTTTGTATCTCTCTCCTAACAAATTAATTAAGCTCGAGGAAGAATTAATCGTCGACAAGCCGCTTTCACTTATTGTCCTGGTGTTGCTGAACCTGCAACATTTAGCTTTGGTCATTCCTCACTATCTCAACAAGTGAACTGTACTATATCACGTGGTGAATAGGTTGAATCTGCCCAAGCAAACAATTAGAAACATGAGGAATATGATGGGACAGCATCAAAACAAACACAATGGACTTGAAAACTGGGGAATTTGGCTAATTCACTTTACCGTACTCAAATCATTCTAGTTTAGCATATAAATGAAGAGAAGTTACACGAGAGAAAAAGGGAGAATGACAAATAAAGGCCTTTGAAAAATATCAAGGATCGTTTACAAATAAAATATCAGAAATTTACAGCTGAAACATTATGAATTTGCAACTCAAAGGTCTTAATTTTGCATAAATTTTCTTTCACAATTGTCATTTTGTAAGAAAAAAATTCTGTACTCCTCTTCGACTATTTATAAAATAGAAAAAAAAGATTAATTTTAATTTTATTTATAAGCATTTTACTATTTTTTATGTTTATATTTATCTTTCTGTTCTTATTAGATGTCAGAAAAAAATTATTAAAAATAGTTTTTTTGTGTTTTTATAAGGGAATAGAGATGAAAATTTATTAAATTTTAAAACAGAGTTAATAATATTTAATTTTTTTATTTTGACAAAACATGCTGAAAAATAATTAATAAATAAGGCTAGAGGAAATAGTATCCCGGTTCTATTTTGCATTTCTTCACTCAATATATAGTTGTATAATGATAAGTTCTAATCACAAAAGAACCATGAATATATAAATTCTTGGCTGATCACAAGATGGATGATTATCAAGATCACTAAAGACAATCTCCTTTTATAAAAATGGTATGTTCTATCATAATAGAATCACATGTTCATTATTTATACTATTTCTATTCATGTATTAAGCTCATGATGAAATTGTTGTTGGAAAGCTCTTTCCGCTTATTTTTCTCATGTCGCTTGTTGAAGAAATTGGGCCTTGACCTCACTATGCATACTAATCAATTATAGAATTATAGAAAATAGGATGCACCTGTTTGGGCAAAGATTATTAAAAGCGTAAAAAACATGTTAGTATATCGTAAGTATGATGTCGGTGAAATTGCAATGGAGGATTCTGACTACATAGTAACTGCTAATTAACCCGACTATGTTTGAAGAATTCTTTTAAACCATCCAAACCATTTATATTTTTCTGTAACTTGAAAAAAAAATGGAAAAACTCAGGTGGTTGAAAGCTGAAACTGTAAGTTGACAAAATGGATGTACTATAAGCCTCGCTTCCCTCCACATGACTTGTTTTCATGGAGCCTTTTGTAAGGGATTGAAAAAACTGTGGAATGGGAGGCATATCTACTTGAAGAAGTCCTTCAAAAATTTGAATAACTTGAGCCATGGTTGGTCTATCTTGCATGATCTCGAATGCACCAACAAGCAATCTTGCATATTCTTGTCAACTCTTATACATTCACTTCACCCTCCAACTTAGGATCTGCTATCTCACCACTTCCCCTCGGTTATTTAGCGCATTGAAAACCGATAGTGGAAAATAGTTACTTAACTCGTCATTTGATTGGTCAATGTTTCTTCTGCCAGAAATAATCTCGAACAACAACACTTGACCGTAGCTATACACATCAACTTTTGCAGTGATAGCTTCACCTGAAAAACATTCACTCTCGTTCTCATGCTGGTGAGAACAGGGCTGAATTTTTTACCTAAAAGCTTCGCAAGTCCAAAGTCAGCACCGAACAAAATGTTCTCTGGTTTGATATCACAATGTATGATGCAATCTCTGCATGATTCTTGCAAGTAAGCCAATCCTTTTGCAGTTCCCAGTGCGATATTGAATCTTCTCACCCAATCCAAAATTTTATCACTCTATTTGAATAGATGAAATTCAAGAGAACCATTTGGCATGTAATCATAAACCAAGTACCTTGTTGAACGTTCTAAACAAAAGCCTCTTAGGCTGGATTACTCCAATTGTGCTCACTTCTGCTCGAAGCTGTTTTTCTTCATGCATTTGACCTTTAAGTTGCTCCACCGCAGCCAAAGTTGAATTGGGGAATTTGCCTCTATAAACAGTACTAAAACCTCCTCCTAGCTTCGCTGTGAAATTCTTCGCTGCTGTTTTCAAGTCTCGGACCTTGAAATGCATGAGAGCATCACCCATTGGCTCCAAGGAACCTCCACGGCGACACAATTTCACCCACAAAGTTATCATCATCACAATAACACCAATGACAAGAGAGGTAAGAACTGACACTACTACGACAACAATCCTCGAATGGTCCTTATTTCCACTTTCCACCATCTCAGATGCTGCAATTCGAACATAAAAATCTCCTACCATCTCTGCATGTGATCAAAGCTGCTGAATATTTGAAAGCGGTTCGTTCCAAGTAAAGCATTGGTCACTATCACATGCATAAGCAGTGCAAGAACAATCTTCTAAGCATGTCATTCGGCATTAATCAGAATTGTTAGCTTGTAAAAGTTGTGGTCTCAATGGATACATTATATTGGGAATAACAAAGAACTTGTCTTTCCTGCGGCAGGAGCAATGCAGATTAATTCTCCTTGTGCATTGTTGAATCCCCAAATCCCAATCGTGCTGATTAGTGGGCACAAATCCTTTAAGGCGTCGGATTCTTTGGATCACAAAGGGTAAATACATCACAAAAACAGGGACAAGGGTAATGTGGTATGTGAAGGACCCATTTCCAACGTGGTATACCATTCCACCAACCAAATAGCTGGAGCTGCCCATTTACATCCGGCACATGTCTGAATAGACCATGGTGCTGCCTGACAGAAAATAACATAGATTCATCCGAGTTCCGCACGCTGGTCGCGCTTGAGTAGCCAAAGTAGTCAAGATAGAGATCAGCAATTTGTATTTTTCCAGGGCCTCAGTGACATACAGTGTACAAATTGTGAACCACGAAGATAGTAATGGTGGGTTCGTCAGAACTCTGCCATAATATACTGGATGAATTGAATCTCTCTCTAACAAAGAAATTCCCATCATTGCCAAGAACACCAACTGTAGCATTCGGAAGAGGCGTGATAAAGCTCCCATCAGTGTGACCAACATATATGACCAGATGGGGAGAGCAGAACTAAAGTTACCATCTCTACGAAATTCCAACGAAGCAGAAATTGGATCAGAGAATGTTGGCGACCCAAACCACTGTTCTCACATGCATTGGAAGCCCTTCGTACCAAATGCCTAAGTTGTATCTGTTAGAGTCACAGGCATGTGAAAAGAAACCCATTTCAAATACTCCTCCTTTTGACATGATGGTGTCATTTCCTGAAAGAGACTTCCCCGCAGAAATGGTATCTTGCCAACCGGATATCTGCACTTGGATTATGCTAAAGAAGAAGATCAAACTCAACCTTGAGTCTTTCCCCTTGATCTTCATTAGTTGGATACACTTCGTTTCTTCGCACTGCAATCACGTGTATGCATTTTTACTATCTAAACTCGAAACCGCAACCAATGCGTTTACCGCTTCCCAAATGAAATTCAAATTTAGCAACTTTCCATTATTTTCTGCACATGTTGGTCCCATTCTTTCTTTGATTTTTTTTTTTTTGAAAACATTTCAACTAAAATGATTTAGAGTTTAGATTTTGAAAGCCTCTGTCATCACTCATCTCCATCTTAGAATGCCATTCATTTTTGTTATTGTGCAAACACAAGTTCAGATTCTTAAGCCTTGTTTGTTTTCTATTTTTAGAAACTATATTTTTGTTTGAAAACAGAAAAATTTAAGAACTTGTTTGGATAAGTATTTTTATTTAATTGTTTTCAAATTATTTTCATTTTTTTTAAAACAAAAAATAGAAACAACTTCAAATTATTTTTATTTTATTTTTCTTGTTTTTAAAATGTTCTACATTTAATTATTAAAAATTATAGTTATTTTAACCAATTTGTATTATAAATTATTATTATTAATTGTTTATAACCATCACTATCACTCTATCTTTAATTTTAAAATTGTTTTTAAATTAATGCAACCAAACGAATTTCATTTCATTTTGTTTTAAAAAATAATTTTAAAAATTGTATTACAAAATAATTTTTAGAAAAAAAAATGAGAATAGAAATCAAACATGCCCTTGATTACCAGAGATCCAGCCCTGCTAGTTCAGTTTTGGTATTGTTAGTTTTGCATTCCATGCAAGAGATTATATATTATACCATCAGAGTTTTTTTTGAAGTCACAAAAATAAGTATACAAAACTAGAGAGAGATAAAAAAGAATAATATAGATAAATAAATATATGAACATAGGGAAAAGAAAATCAATCCTAGTCACTGACGGGTAATAAGAGAATTGGATTTCTTAATTAAAAACTCACCTTTTCTTTTTTGTTTTTTTTTTGTATAAACTATTTAGTATCTTGAGATATTCTGAATTCATTGCTTGCCCCAACTAATCAAAACCCCCCATGAGGAAACCTTATGGTAGTAGCAAGGTATCGATAGAATGACCTCCTTAAGGTCGTGTTAATTATTACGTCAGTCATTTTTTAAGATTTGAACCTTCACCCTGAAAAGTGCTGATAGTAGCCCTTCTCAACTCAAATAAGTTGACCATTGCAAATTTGCAATGACCATAGGCTCTAGTCGAGGATATACAAGAGCTGGCTAGTTTACAGCGTACCCAAGATTCGAAACTATGGCATCTGCTTCCTGCAGTCGTATAAAAGAAAAGCTGCACTCTGAACGCATATATGGTACTTTACGTTTAGGTTTGTTGCCAATTCCTCTCTTAAGGTCCTTTCTAAATGAGATCAATTTATATATTTCTTTTTTAATGATAACTTATTGTATTTGCTTACTATTTATGAACCATGGTCAAAAAACGTGTATTTGTAGCGAAGCACACCTGTTCATCGAGAGTGCAGATGCTAAACTTGTTGACCAGAGCGGAAAGTTTGGAGCACCCATTTCAGGATATTATAGAACGTGCAAGAAGACACCGGAGGAACGAATGAAACATCAGCTATTATCTGTGAAGAGAGATCAGAACCTTTGTAATCAGTATTGTTGCAGCCCCTTTTTGTTGTATTTACTGTTGTCCGTATTTTGGTCAATGAAAGTTTTGTATGCCGTGGGGGAAAAAATTGTAACGATGCGCGTTCCCTGCATGAAAATCAGTGTTCATGCACAAATACAGACTGCGATTTGGATTTTGGATGCATCAGATCTTTACAAGTCAAATCATGTCTGACCATTATGGCCAAAGTAATGTAAGTAAAATAAAAACCCGAGTTCCCTGTTAGAGAAAAAAAGAAAATAAGCACGGCCACAAGAAACAGATCCAACCTAGAATTTCAGAACAAGTTTGTAATATAAAATGTGATTCTTTCCAATTTGCAATGAAACTACAGGCCACAATCTGTTAGCGTTTTAGATGATTCGTGTTTTCTGATTCTTTTTGGCTATCCAGAATGCATGTTGATAGAAGTATTTTCAATACAAACTAAATGCCAATGCTAAGATTTTCTTTTTCGATCATCTTCCTCGTCATCATCAGAATCACCACTCTCACGAAATCGTGGATTTTTTTCCTGCATCAGAAAAAGTTATTGTTGTGAGACATGAAGCATCAAAATTTGACAAATGAATGAAGCATCAAATCACGCCTTGAAGTGAGAGAATAAGCCCGTGGTCTATGGCAAAATTGGTTAGCTATTAAAAATAATCATCAGCCTGAAGCATCATAAGACTTGTGTTTGTTTACCGGTCTAGAGTCATGATCAGAGTTCCTCCGAGATTCATGATCTGATGATCTTTTTGAGGATTCGTAGGCATGGCGATCATCATCTCTGTGTCTCTTCTTATGGTAATCTATCATTTTAAAGAGACATTAAAATTATATAGATGTTGGTTTGAAGAACAGATCAATAAAAAAACCATTTTGTGTGCTTCTGAAATTCCAAAATGCCAAACAGTAAAAAAAGTCTTTAGGAGATACCTCTGCCACACCGATGAGAACCACCATGTCTGCCATCTGCAGGAGCAAAATTGCATAACCGTTTAGTTTGAAAGGCAGACAAGGTCAAACCATATGATAAAGAATTACCATGATAGCTCCCCATAAACCAACACGTGTTCCTTACCTTTATATACTCAGTTATTTCCATCTCTAATTCAGTGTTTTACTAACAAGCATGCAATGACACAACACAGACACCGCAGCAAGCTAACAACAAAATTTGAAGTGTCACATCATGTCATATAGGTTTCTCATATGGAACACATACAGCTCTATTTTTTAAGCGCCCGTGCTTCTTAGATGTCTCATAATAACACATTTGACAAGTCATAAGCAGTTCACATTATAGTAGGACTGGCTAAAAGGACGAAATCAAATCTATAGCACAGATGAACAAGCAAGTCTTCTCAACTTCTATTTTAGTCAGCCATAAACTTCAATCAAAATGCAAAAAAGCCCAAAAGAGTAACTGCCTATGGTAGGCATCATTTTGTAGCATATGCCTGTACTGCATAACAAATATGACGCTGCATCAATCAGGCTAATATAACTAGCAGATCGTTGAGCATGCCTTGTGTTGCATATTGACTCAGAATCTCATAAAGCTTAGACCCCACAAAAATTGTGATGATGCCTTTGTATTGGAGTGTTCACAATTTTACACATACCATATCCAAAAATTCAAGCATTAGGACTAGACAATCTTTAATTCTGAATATTAACATAAATACATGGACTAGGATCTTATTTGATTTTATAATAAGTGGAAAATGTGAACACCAATAGTCCAATCAGCTCAACATCTGTTCTGAGTCACTTACAGGATGGTTGCAAAACTGGTGGAAAAGAGCCCAAAGAACCAGCACCATAATCAACAAGCTGCCTTTGTGCTTCCAACTCTTTCTGAACTAACTTTCCATAGCCACCTCTACGTTTAAATAATTAAGGAAACCAAGAAAATACTAGGATAATAAGTACAGCCATCAATCAAGTTGAAAATACTCTCAAAATCTTATTTAAAGACCAACTTATTTAGACCTTCAAGAATATAGTTAAATTATGAGTTCTAGATCACCTTCACATTTGTATTTATTCTATTTGATATGTGACACAACAGAGGTTTGAATCTAAGGCCTAATATAGTACACTTTTAATTCATTATACATTTTAGCATTGGCAATTAGCATTCTAGAAATTTTGAAATCCCCTTCAAAATATTATTAGAAAGGTCCAGCAAACATGTAAAACACATTTAAAAGAAGATATCTGTTCAGTAATGACAAAATATTATATTTCACCATGTTATTGTACAGCTTAATTATCAACGCTCCATGCTAGTATATATTAAACAGAGCCTGAGCTTTCAGGTATGACTACATTCATGTAGCTGACACTAGTACCAGTATCACTTTCATTATACAGAAGAAAATTGGACTTCAGTGAAAATTTAACATCTAAAAGGATATCAGGATCATAATCAGTCCGATATTCATCACGAACCTGCATAAAATGAGGAAAAAAAAGTTTGCATCAGTCAGGACCAGAAGCACCTTAAACAGCATAGGCACAGCAACTTACTTGACCACCACTACGACCACGACCCCATTGTCTTCCATCCTGGAATCCCCAGTCAAAATCTACACGAATAGGACGATCATCAAGTATTGTCCCACTTATGTATTTGACAGCATCTTCAGTATCTTCTCGAGAATAGTATCTGATAGATGATAACAGATACAATCAGCAATCACTATTCTACAAGAGTGGCTAACAAATCACTACAACTAAGAACGTATATTCAACACAAGAATAGACTATTCAAGACATTAGAAGAATTTCAACACAAAGTCCCAGTAAAGAATCTCTAAGAACCTTATGCATTAGTTTATTCAGCCACCACCAATGTCCTAAATATAAAAGTTGAGATAAATTAACATCCTTGGAAGCAAGAAAAGAGTAGATTATATTTTTGAATCGCAAATCAGAAATAATATCTTAACACCAAATAAGCAAACAGATAACAGAAAGGAGACATTTGTCAGCTGATGACAAGTGAGAAGATAATGGATGCCAACAAGTTAAGTTGACAATTTGCAGAGGCAAATATTTGTCCGTTCAGAGTGATAGGTGAATTTAGAAGTCTTTTTGCGCTTAAAAATTACAGATGTTTTAATATTCTTCCAAGAGATGGATTTCATACTATGTTATGGACCTTGCCGATTGGATCTAATGATGATTGTAATTATCAATCAGAGAAATCAATTTTGCAAAACTTAAGGGAGAAGCAAGCAAGAGGAGAACAAAAGAAGGGAAATAAAGAAATGTGGAAAGGTAGCTCACTTGATGCAGTCAAATGACACCCAGACGTAGTAATGAAAGCATGGTGCATAGCACCTTAGTCTCCTTGAAACATACAAGCATGAATAAAGTACGATTTACCACTACAATAGCATTAACTGCCACAGATTATTTTATGGCACCTTAAAGATAATTGTTCGCAGAAAACTTCTCAACCATGTTAGAAAATTAATAGAGCATATACATACATGCACAGGATGTGTAGAAAATATAACAGAACCTCTTCCATGAGAATTCACGAAATACAGAAAATCTTGATCCTAGTCTACATATCATTTATAACTGGGAAAGGAGGCTTACAAAACAAAACAAAAGCCACAGGGAGTTTTCGTGTTTTTGTCCAATCCCATGATAATTTTCTTAATTTCTCCGGCACGAGAAAAAAGTTCATAAACTTGCTCTTCTGTTGTGTAAAACGACATATTTCCCACATAAACAGTTGTTGAAGACAGAAGCGCTTGCTCAAATTCCTCTTGTGTTCCTGGAAATTTTCTATCTCGATAAGCTGAAAGCTTGGATAGATCCTAGAAGCAAAATAGAAAAGAAAGAAGGTAAATACTGTAAACTAAACCGCTTACTTTTTGAATTAAATAGATTTAGCATTTAAGATTGAATATAAACACCTAAACCTCTGCATTAGACAAGGGAAGAGCAAGGCGATGGACATAAAAGGAACCTACTTCCCTTTCTCGTGTGTATGCAACAGAGAATCCTTTCTTAACCCAAAGAAAAAAAGAAAAGAAAAGAATTTTTTCGTCTACAAGGTAATAAGTAGTTCCAATTCAAATGATTATATTAATTCTGCAACTGCTGCAATTTCATTTTTCCTTTTATCAATGTATGATTGATTTTTCCCAGCATATGGCAAAGAAAACTGAAATGTGCAAGGTTTTATGGTCAATCACATATAAAATGCAGGTACTCCGTTTTCCCACCAAAATCTATGCTTTCAACCTTCGCATATTAGTTTTCCTAAACTCTGATCGAAGTTAAAGATAGCATGTATCAGCAACTTAAATACCTAAATCAACAAAACTAGATACAACCAACTTTCGTGCGAAGCAAATAGAGAGAAAAAGCATACCTTGAACAACGAAGCCATATTGTCCTCTGCAAGTCAGCTGGGATAACGTCAGTTTAAGTCGAAACGAGAAAGAAGAAGAATCAGATGGACACAAAAAGCTCAGGCCTTAGGGCATGGAGTGATGGAGAAAACCGAAGAAGACGAAGTGAACCTTGTCACGTGGACACGTGCGAGCGTTGGCCAAGATGAATAATCTGTATGTAACTATATGTATCCACCTCCCGACCCAATCTGATCCGCATTGACAATTACCCGGGAAGGACTATCCCCATGACCAATCAGGGTTTAAGGTAATGTTTGTCTTTTTTTTTTTTAAAAAAAATATAACTTTAAGTTCAATTTAAAATTTAATAAAAAAATCAAATACAAATAATTAATTTTTTGAATAGTTTACCTCCTATTGTGTCAAATTTTTATACTTTCTTCACATTTTGCAATTGATCCTTATATTTTTTTTATGTTTTAAATCCTTCCACTTTTTTTTTAATATTTTTGAACAAAGTATAGGTACTTTAAAGAGATTTAAAATATTGAATAATAAAAGTGTAAGAATTTAAAATACCTACAAATATGGAGGGATCAATAATAAAATATGAGAAAAGTGTGAAACCCAAAATTATGTTATCTTTTCTTTTTTAGGAAATGTTTGGTTTAACAAGAGAGGGAGATATTTTAATGATATTTATTTAATTTTTTTAAAAAAAGAGCTAATTATAAATTGATAAATATTTTTTGCCAACTATAAATTGATAAATATGCATTTATACAATTTTTACTTCAATAATGTAAACAAAATTTTATTTTCATATCATATATAAACCAATTATATATATATATATATATATAAAAAATGGGTTACTCTAGCTTATGCATAATAAAATTAGAATTCCAGTCAATAGGTAAATAAAATTAAAATTATGTTTAGCTCTTCACAATTACAACTAAATTTTATAATTAGGGAAAAAGACAAACGCCGCTTCTCCCTCCCAATCTCATCCCCTCTATAAAAAAATTTTAAATAGGTTGAATACAACAAATAATTTATAATTTATTCAATAAAAATATAATATTTCTATATTATTAAATATAAATTAATTATTATATTAATAATAGTAGAGAGATAAAAAGTAAAAAATTAAATATATATTTTATTATAAAAATAAAATTAATTAAAAAATTATTGTACAAAATTCTATTTAAATTATTTAAAATATTTTTATTAAATGAATTATAAATAACATGGCTCATCCGGCTTGCCAATTATTTCTCTCCCCTCAGCTACAAAAACTAGAACCAAACTCCTCCTGTCTCGGAACTATCCCCAAAATCCCTGCACAAGGCCTCGCTGATCTTGGAGTTTGCAAGTGTCAACCAAACATCCACGAAATGGCCTCCTCCGCCGTCAGATCAATCTTCCGATCGTGCTCGAGTCGTCGCTTTGCCTTTCGTCTTGCATCGGAAGTTAAAGCGCCTCGTTCTCCATTCCGCTTCGCCTCCAGTAAACCTCTCTTCTATTCCACAATCAGGTAAGTTGCGCAAGATTCAGGTACATTAATAACGCGTATAATAATTACCTTTTATGGTCTCCGAGAAAAATGTAAGTCAAGTGCAAATTAGAAATGAAGCTTTTTGCTCTCTTGAATCACTTCCATTTTCCAAGGAAGAAGAAGAAAATGTTATTTGTTTCAAAGATTCTAGAGTAGCATTTGATCTAAACTATTTTAAGATCTGGTAAAAGTTTATTGACCCTTATAAGAATCTTTTCAACTACCATATGGGGTGCGGAATTTTGCATTACCTCGATGTGTGCTTCCGTGTTAGAAATGGAGCAATTATTGTGCTCTGCTGCAACACTAATTTTATGCGTGGAACTGATTGTATGATAAGGTGCCCAGTTGAGTTGAGCTTTTGTGTGGAAACGATGCTGCCATATCATACTGCAACTGCTTCTACACTAATGACTTCCATGCTCACCATCTCTAGTTGCCGTTATGGGCGGCTGCCTGAAGGTAACTTCCTGCCAGTTCTAGATTCATGTCGACCTAGTATGGATGCCCATGCAGCTATGCTGTTTGAAATATTACAGATGTGTTGAAATTGAACTTATCGGATTAAAATTTACAATGAATAGACATTTAATTTATACATTGAGAGAAGATTTAAGACTACAAAATTTTGCAGTGATGCCTTCTCATATTTTGTATTCTTTGGGTCAGCTAATCTCTAATATTTTTTAACTGTCTAATGGTTATTACAACTAAACCTTGACTGAATCTTCTCTTTATGAGTCACCGGGATTTTGGCCATGTTTATTTTTTTTTTTTTTAGTGCATTAAAATGGTAATTCTAGTGTTGCTAGGTTGCCTGACGACTCTTGTATTCTACTTTTGGTTTAGGTAGCTAAGCATCTGTAGGATTCCTTGATATTCTTTCTTCAAAATTGTTCAGAGTAAGTTACTGTTTCTATTGATTCTTGGGCTGAAATTTTTGAAGTCTCTTGAGAAACAATGTAAAAGTCAATCATACTTTATTTGGAATCTAACATGGCTCTTCATTTGTTAAATGATTCACTGCTTACACCAATTTGGTACATTAACCTATTGCCTACATTGTTGTCTTCCCCCAACATGCAATTAGTTAAATCTATCAGTGAAGCCACATGCACTCCTTTTATCTGTAGGGCGAAAGAAGACTAGATGAAGATCAAGAAGCAAAGATGGCATGACTTGGACTTATGATATTGCGCCTTGAACAAAATTTTGTTATATCAGCATTAGGAAAAAAGATATCTATGATTATTTACTGAGCTTTATGTAGAGCACATTTGTGTGCTTGTGTATTGAGATTACATGTTAAAATACATTATGTAGCCTGGTTCCCTGATATGTCGCACATTCTATTATAGATCTTTTCTTTGTATATTTTGAATTGTCCTGTTCAAATCAATTTACCGTCATGAAAATGAGCGGTGTCATTTTTGTCTTTCAAATTTTCATCAAAAGAAACTAGTTTGCTTTATACACATAAGCAGAGGGATTACAAATATAACCAATATGATATAATGCCACTCTATAGTCTTGTTAGAAGTTCCCTGAAATTTCATAAAATCAGCCTGTTCCTTCTTTGCTTCATTAATTAAAGTATAAACATCTGTTCTATATGGTTATGGGTGATGCTGGATTACTTCATAATACCCATAAATTATGCAAATACTGTTTCTTTTCCTTTCTTTATCTACTTCCTTAACGTTATAGGACCAGCAATTAAGGAATCTACTGCTCTTTTTTGTTTAATCAGATTGCAGTGATGACGTATAATAAGTGTGAAGATTGAAGCTATCTTTGTATAGAAATCTGCATGGCGATACATTGACTGCAGAATTAGCAGGTGCTCTGATTGAACCACTGGACGGACAAGTTAAAACTAACTTCAAAACTCCGATCAATTGTAGCTTTTGGTTCTCTATTTGTGATTTATGAAAGATTGTAAACTTTTTTTTTTTTTTTTCAAAGGTTGTACCTTAATACAGGGTCTTCAGTGCCCAATGCCTTGATCGCTTGATTAGTCATATGCGTTGAAAATGAATTTTAAGTCATCACATCTTGTTACATGAAGTTATTCAGCAATCAATGCAGAATCAGATAGTACCTGTTTGGATACAAAAAATAATTGATTATTTTGGGTAAAGCCATGGTTTGGGTGAAAAATACCCAAATGCCCCTATTTTTTTCATAATCAATTATTTATACCCAATCCATGTTTTTCCATAAGCTGAAAGAAGTAGCTTGTTTAATTCAATTATGCCATTAGTTCATTTATTAGTTGTCAGAATTTTTTTTCTTACTAGATATGCCTCTCCCATTCGGGCTTCAATATAATAATATATCTCCACACTAGCTGTGTTTCGCCCTCCTCTCATCTCCATTGATACATATTCTGATGCCATCAGTGGCTTGGTTTTTTTTGTAAAAGGTTTGTGTATTCCACTTCAATAGATGGCAAATCAATAATAATAGTAAAAGTAAATTCTTATGCTAAAATTTAATAATATCATATACATTAAATAGATTTCAATAAATTTAATAATATTATATATTTAAAATTAATATTTACATTTTAAAAAATTAATGCCCTTTATAGTAATTTATACATTTAAAATTTTTTTAACTAAATTATTTAAATATCTTTAATTATGTTAAAATCAATTTTAAAACTCCTCTTGGACAGCCTTCCATTGTGGAGATATTAATTTGACTCGAATGTCCTCTCTCTTGTTGAATCATTTCCGTGAAAGGGCCTGGCTTGGCCGAGTCGTGGTAGGTACGTAGTTACAGCCGCTCATTTTTGCACAGGATTTGTTGGTATATTGGAAAATAAAATGAATGATTATGTGTGCCCAAAATAAAAAAAGATCTTGATGAATTAGCGCTTGCGCCTTTAACAGGACCTCCAAAATGCGTTGAGCTTTTAGTTAAGGTCGTGCTTGAATTCTTGTGCCTTCAAACGGATACCAAATCATTTGAAACTGAAACTGGCTTGTGCACTGCATGCCCGTCGCTAGATTCTTTTCTAAGTGGCGCAACGCAAGGAAAAATGTTAACAAGGAAAAGATCCCAAAGGACAAAGTTTCCTAATGTTATTATCAATTGGAAATCCCAACATGTTCATGTTATCAAGTGAATTTAAATTAAAACGTAATTATCTAGCAAAGTTGATAGCAGAGGAACAAGGTTGGACTTTCACAAAGTGAACAGATTGCTAGATATATAGCAGCACGCATATGAGAGATGCCCATTCAGAAATTCTCTTTACTTCCAACAACGGGTATTGAAGTGCACTGAATTCCAACATGAAGTTGTCTGCGTTACCATCCTATGATTCGTCTTAACATGATGGGTTGCTTCACTTGGAAGATGTATGGCATTACGAAGACCGAAGGCTTCTATTCTACTGGGGCCATTTTCAAGAGCCGAAGGCTCATCTGCAGAACTTATCTGAAGTCAGTTCTTCAGGCCCACAATAACGCCTATAAGTATTATTCAACAATACTGAGTTATTCTCATCATCGCCTTTCAACGAATTCAAGATTCTTATAACAGGGAGATCCTTAGCAGGGAGCAGAATTACATATCCTCTTTGGTTAGCTCGACACAGTAGTCCACATCATCAATAAAGCCCTCAATTTGTGAGAAATTAATCTGCACCTGCTTTTGTCAAATTGCCGCTAGTTGATCATATCTGCAGGTACTCTCATGTCATTATTACAGCACGGTGCAGTCTTTAGAAATTTTTTTTTTTTTTTGGCTACTTACCATCACAGTCATGGTACTTTCTGGTTTGTGAGGATACATTAGACAAGGGATCTCCTTGCATCTAACATAGAATATGTCTGCAGATTCTCTCATTATGTCAAGATTATGTGCAAAGAAATCATCTTCGGTCTTCTCAAGGATTTGGGGTATTGCCGCTTAAAACACAAAACCAGATCAATTTATTCTAGAGAAAGAACGAGAAAAATGTGACACGATCTTGCACATATTTATTAAGATCTGAATGCATCCGTGTTGATCCGGTGACCATACAGAACGATAAAATCAAAGATCTAGTTTGACGACAGAATTCATCATCAGTTACCTGCATGAAGGCTGGAGGGTCAGTAGTAATGTCTAGATAGTTCTTGATAATTGTCAGTATCTGAAAGAGAAAGGACAAAATCACATAATTTTCAGCATAGTCTACTATCACATTCCGAATGAAAGAAACTCTGCCACTCAATCCTTGTCTGTATTCATTGTTGAAAAAATGCAAGCATGGACACACGCAACACACTAACTAAGATCAACAATAGACCCCGGATTTCTGAAAGATGCCATTTGGATCACATGTCATGATCCATCCAATTCTCCAGCCAGGAAAAATCCATCTTCTTGCCAGGGAGTTAGAGACCCAAGTGTAACAACAGGCACCATTGATGCAAACACTACCATAGGCACAAATGGATTGCTTCCAAAGGTCATATGTGAGCATAAACTTCATCAGCCACCACAAAGATCCCGAGTTTCCTGGCAGTCTCTTCAACCTACAAGAGTCTTGAAAATCAGTCCCGTTTTCCCAATCTTAATTTCCGATCATACGAAATAGAATTTGAAGCATTTTTAAAATACCCTTTTCAAATGCTGGTTTGTGAACACATTCTCACAAGGATTGCCAGGATTAATAATGACCATGGCCACAGTGTTCTCATCTGCAAGAGCTTCTAAACCATTGATATCAACCTCCCAACCTCTCTCAGGCAGAAGATCAAAATGGCAAACTTCAAGACGACTGCAAGCTGCACGAGCTTCAAATTGTGGGTAGCTTAGTCTTGGAAGGAGAATGTCGGCGCCAGGACGTGCAAGGACAGATGTTATTATATTTATAGCTTGAGTGCAACCAATGGTGATATAAAGATCGTCTGGTGATAACTAGAATGGAAGATCAGAAGACAGATGTTCTGCAACAGCCCTGTTAGAGTAATTGTAGTGTTACCATGTCAATTTGGAAGGTAAAAGTAAACATATATTTGGCTCAAGAAGTTGCGTATGCATGTATCTCAGGTCTCTATTGTAGGATTACCATCATCTTTGGCGGGACCAAAATTTCTAAGAGTAAGAAGTTCAATGTTTCTGGTTTTAATGGAAGGATAGAATTCACTCACTGCTAAAAAAAATTACTTCAGAAGCTTTAGGAAGAGAAAACTTCCAATTTTTTCAGCAGAGAAAATCACTCTTAAGAATCATGCAAAAAAGCTGCCACTCGTACTTTCCAACTTTATTACTCATACTCTTTGTATATATTTCGAAGCTTTTTCATCCAATAGTAAGAAATTATAAATTATAAATTATAAATACCCTTGAGTTATCGGGAAAAAATCAATTTGTAATTTTATAGAACATGAGTAATGATTTTAAGAAGAACTAGTAATAAATTGACCACATCATTCTTGAGAAAATTTTAATATTTAAAATCTTTATATTCTCATTTTTTAAGCCTTTAAGTGATATTTTTTCTTTTAAATATTTTGAAGTATGAAATAACATGTTGGCAAGGTAAAACCATAAAAGATAAATAGAAGTTTAACATTTACTGAAATGCAATTGCAAATAAATTTAACTCAAATTTTACCAAACTTCAAAGTCGACAATAGTTGTCTATTATAATTAGTTTTTTGCAAAGATTTTTGCAAAGAGCAAGATTGATGGGGGATAAGAATCAAAATTAGTAAAGCATACTAGAGATAAATTTCTGAGATTAGATGGACACTAGGGAAAATTTCACTTTAAACTCTAGCTAAGAGAGAGAGCCTCTTAATAAAGTTCGAAATTTCACTGCAAATCAAATATAATGAAATAAAATTAAAATGCAAACTAAAATTATCCCATTCTTGTTAGTGGCTTGAACTTATTAAAAGATACTTACAAATTCTTCATATTAAAAGTGTTCATTTCTCATATTGAAATAATTAATTTTTTTACCATAGGTGTTTGTACACATAATTTTACTTAATTTTATTATTAGTACTGTTAATCAAAAAAGTTACTTTTTCTATAGGAGTTATTTGTACACGTGGCATTACTTGGTTTTACTCTCAATGTTATTATATATTATAATAAAAAAAGTTATAAATTTCTCATAGTATAGTTGTTCATTGTACTGAAGTTATTATTTTTATTAAAATTATTTTTATGTATAGTTTTACTTGATTTTATTCTCCGTTTTGTTGATTAGGTAATACTTTTCTATTGATTAGATTTGAAGTATTATCCAAGTGAGCATTAATCACGGATTTCGCAAAAGAATAATCTGATGAATATAAGTTTTCCAATATTGTAGAAGTATCCACGAACCGCAGCACCAATTGGATATTATACAAGAACCGAGGAAGCAAAAATTAGGAGCAATGCCAGTAATATCATTGAAATAACAATCCAAGAAAGGGGCATTGGATGGGAACTAAAATAGGAAGAGATTCTCAAAGAATCTTTGGGTGAAGCCCAAGTCATGGCTTTCTTGAAATCCATTGTGTTCTATGTTGAGCTGTGAAGCATGAAATCCACCGTGTTCTGCAAGCCTTGTTGGTGGTTCTGGACCTACGGCAGCATGCTGAGGAACGTACCTGTCGGAGGGGGATGCTGGAGGAATAAGAGAAGCAAAGGAAGCAACGCCAAGTGTGTTTGTGTAAGAGGGTTAATTTTGTCATTGTCCTCAACATTTAAATTTCATTTCACTACGTTTAATCTGTAGTGGAATCTCACAATTTGAAGAAGTTCTCTTTTTTATTATGTTTGATCAAAAAATTCATATTGAAATTTTTTCTAGACATTATCTTCCACTCACATCAATTTCTATAACCTTGTTAGTTATTGATGACACATATAAACCCATTTAGGACTTTGATCGAACATTACATATGCATCATCATCATCTGATAAAATCTTGTAGTTGAAGATTGAACTAACCTCCTTACCTCAGGCTAGCCAACGGTGGGAGGGCAACAATTGGAGAGAAAGATTGGACGGCGCTAGTGATAGCATCAGGAGCCACAGGGATGGTTTGAAAGCAATCAAAATCGGTGGGGTCAACATGGCAAGGACGAAGCAAGGGTCTGTGATCTTCTTTGTTGAGGTTAGCTACTAGCATGTTGAAGACCCCTCTCACAAATACTACCGAAGCATTCAGCACTTTGTTCCCCTAAAAGCCACATTCCTTGGGTTCTTTTTCCTTCTCCATTCCTCTTGCCAAGGATAAGCAACCATTAGCGCTATCCAATCCTTTTTTTCTTTTTGGCCCCAACCATTTGAAACTTCTAATTTGATTTCAACATAGATTTGGTCTTAATATTTAAGTAAAACATATATTCAAGAATGTTATTACCTTGAATGGAAGTTATTGAATGTCCAGAACAAGCAAAACAAACTGATAGAAATGATCATCAATCATTCAAAGAAATTTTGGTGACCACTTCTTTTTAACCATTCTAGAATGCAGCTGCTAAACCGATCTAACATATATTTGAGAATATTCCACTCAAACTCAAAGTTCTTGAATGCCAAAGCAATACAGACTAACACAATCGAAAATCTGTCATTCAATAAATGCTATCCATTAATTAAGTTCTTTCATGTGTTGATACTGCCATAGAATGACTTCCAAATCACTTCTTGGAATGCCTTTGGCAGAATACTCTAATCCTCTCAAGGCCTTCTTCAAGTGCCAAAGGTTCAGCAGCAAAAGTTATGCGTACCCAGTTCCTTATTCCCACAGCCACGCCTGTAATACATGAGCTTGTTATAAGCGGTGCTCACAAGACACGCGTACTTAACTTCGCAACTTGAGGAGAAACTACATATTAGAGTTTTAAGTGAATTGAAAGTGATAAGATGGAAGAAAATTAAGATGTGAAATCCATGCCTGGTAAAACGACGACAGATTCCTCCCTGATCAACTTCACACAGAAGTCCATATCATCATGGATTCCTTCCAAAAGAGCTAGATTTAGTTTTACCTGTGGGTGTGATTGGTAAGTATCATTTTTTTTTGTCTAGTGACTTGAGAAGGAAATACATTAAATTATAAGAGACCATAACGATGTACTAGGCACGTACAAGCATAAACATTGATCCCTCTGGCTTGTATGGGCAGATCAAGCAAGGTATCTCTTTGATTTTGTCATAACATGTATCAGCAGTGACTCTTAGAATGTTGAGAATCTTAGAAAAGAATTCTTCCTTTGTCTTTTCAATAATATGAGGAATTGCTCCCTATATTATTTGACACAAAAAATAGAAGAAGAAGCTGTTATTCATTCCCATAATATCATGAAATACAAGACCAAAGCTCATCATTAGTGAGAAATACAGGGGAGAAAAGATTATGTCAAACATGGTAATATATCCCTCTATATGGCATATACTCACCAGGACACACTGATTAAGAACTAGCAAATAGGTATATAAGAAACTAGACATCATTTCAAAACACGGAAATTGCAAACCTGGAGGATAGTGGCAGAATCAGATGTCAAGATTTTACACAGTCTTAAACTTTCGAACACCTAAAGAAAAAACAAATGCATTCAATTCAGAGAAGGGGGAAAAAAAAAACCAGTATAGCTTAGCCATAAATAATGATCACCGAGAAGATTTTCCGAGCCACGTAAATAAAATCAAGGCACACACAGAAAGAGACAGTACCCCAGATTTTGCCAGGATGCCGTTAGGATCATTTGTAACAAGCCAACCGAGTCTCCAACCAGGAACGAGCCATCTCTTGGATATTGATCCAAGTGTGATGACAGGAGCAACTGTTGCAAAAGTTCCCATTGGAATAAAAGGATTTTCCCCGAAATGAAGATGAGCATAAACTTCATCAGCAATCACCATAATCCGAAGCTTTTTGGCAGTCTTTGCCACCTAATGAATGATTATGAGCTAATGAAGATATCAACTTGCATTAGAATTTGGTATTCCATTAACAATGTTTAGGACTTGGCAATTAATAAAGTGAAAGTAGATATGATGCTTGACTAGACAAATATGATGAATATTTTACCATGGGCTCAGCGAGAATTAAGCATTTTGCTAACAATATACTGATTGGATGATGCCCGCATGTACGGTTCTTGACTCTTGAGACTCTTAACAGATTAAGTTTCACATTGACTGTGGCCTATGCATTTCCCTCTGTCAAGTCTCTCAGCGTCATGTCGAAAGACCGATGGTTCGATTTGAGATTAGATTAGTCAAATTAAGAAACAACCATATACGTAATCTAAACATTAATTGTTATGTTACATAAGAAGTTAGACAATTTGTCCGTATCCATTCTATGAATAAAAACTCTATGAATCCGATCGATACCTTCATCAAATGCTGGGGAGTGTAAACATTTCCACAAGGATTGCCAGGGTTTATGATGACCATAGCCACAGTATTGTGATCTGCAAGTGCTTCAACAGCTTCGAGATCAACCTCCCAGCCCTTTTCTGGTAAAAGATCAAAAAGGCGAAACTCCAAATGGTAAAGCAAAGCAAGAGCATCGTAGTCAGGGAAGCCAGGTCTTGGAAGCAAAATGTTGGCATTGGGGCGAGCTAGGACTGTTATAATGTGTTCAATGGCTTGACTGCATCCAGACGTAAGAATCACATGGTCTGGTGATAGCTCATATGGCAGATCTCTCGAGAGGTATTCTGCTACAGCCCTGTATTGCTCATGTTAATTTGTTGAAGTCTCAAGTACAAATTTTTCTTTTTTTTTTCAGGGACATGGAAAGAGGAAAAAAACTTTTGGGGAATTGATCCCAGAAGAAAAGGCTATGTACTGTTCAATCTTCTAGCAAAAGAATGATGAGATGCAGGAAAATTTACAACTGTTGAATTTATCCACCATTGGTGGATCAGATTCCTATTATTATTGGTTCTTACGTGTAATATGGCCCTTAAGTGCAATATATTTTCCTCTTTTTTATGTGAAATAGCATGGGAAAAATTTCTCGGCCACATGCGCGTTCGAAAACTACTAAAGAAAATGTGTGGGAGTTACATGCATATGGCTTCTCTCTCATTTTTTGTACATTACTGAAGAGCTCAAAAAACTCCTTTCTCTCTTCTCTTCTCTCTCTGCGTTTACTGCAAACTAGAGACACAGTTTGTGTAACTCCGGTCTGCGTGGAAACCTTGATGACTGCAGTGACAGGTGTGCTTCCTAAACTCAACAAGTAATTAGAAGAAATGAAAATCTATGGAATGCTTCAAGTAAAGAAGAAACATACGTTAAATACATTCCATAATATATAGGCATCATATGTGTTTTTTTACTCAAACTACCAAATCAGAGAATGTTCTTAGGTCTTGCTTTTCCTGGTTTCGAGCGTTAAATTTGGTTTTCTCATCTTTCTTTTAAAAGAGGAAGAGGAATTTGCTCCTACTGGTTGGGAAAAATGAAAATCAAGCCAATAGTTGTTTATTTGTTTTGGCCCAATGGATAATTGCAAATCACTCTATGTTTGCGGACGAAAACATCACTCCACTTTTTTTTTTTTTTTGGCCGGGGGGGGTGTGGGGGGCAGAAGTTACGACTTGCAACAATCAATCAAATATTATAAAATCTAGAAATCTATGAAGTGCTAAAACAATTAAATGTGGAGGCCTAAAGAAAAATATATATTCTGTAGCTTTTCATATTTTTAATTTTGTTTTAATTAATAAATTTCCATGTATAATCAATAATTAATATCAACACATGAATTTAGCATTTTAACACAATTTATTTATTTTATATATTTATTTGCAAGCTATTATTTTGTTGTGAAAAAATTAATGACAACAGGCGAGCTAGAAAAATATAATAAAAAAAATATTTACCAAGTGATCCAATTATTCAATAACTTCTAATAAATAATCACCTGACAATTCTTGCGCCTTATGTAGTTATGTGTCTTGCAATTTTACCTTTTAAAAAAAAATTTGACCAACCTTTTAAAAATTAAAATAATTGATTTTCTTCACACTTTCAATGCCTCTTTTACCTGTTTAAGTTTGAAAGAGGCCAAGCCAGATTTTGATTAGATAAAATTTAATATTGTAAGATTCAAACTTAAACTTGACCTATTAGCTCATATAAGACATTTTTTCTAAAGCTCAGGCCTTGATCTGTCAAGAACATTTAAGCTCAGCCTGATTTAAAAAACCTAATTAAAGACGTTGAAATTTTGAACTACTAAAAGTTAGGATTTTGTGCATGAAATCATTTTGAACTCAACCAATTATTCCTCTGTGTTTGGATAATGTGGGACTTAACAAAGATTGGAAATAAAGTTAATTATCAAATATCTTTGGGTTAACTGAGAGTTACTGGACATCCTAAATTTAATTATGAATTAATTTTATTTAAAGATTCCCTCTCTCATTCTCTAAAGTTAAAAAAGTTTAATGTGAGTTTGTCATTAATGAGTTCCACAATCTTTTAATAATTTATCATCATCATCATCATTATTAGTTTAAGGGTATTCTTTGCCTTTCAACTTTTATCTAAACAAAGTCAATGAGCAACATTAACTTAAATATTTTATAATAAAAAAATGCAACGTGGTCTCCATTGATGGTAAAGAGACAATAAGAAAATAGCAAGGTGATGAGAGAAAAAATTTTTAATATTAAAAAATAAATTAATCTATAATTGAGTTTAGAGTGCCTAATAATTTTTTGAGTAAAGTTGAAGGCACAATGACTCAAACAGGGACAAACCTACATGTTGCATAGAGAAGGAGTTGCCCCCAAAAACTTTTTGCAATTTATTCAATAAATACATGTAACTAATATGTTTATCATGTGTCCCATGTCATAGATATTAATTGCTCGTAGTGATTAATAATATTATTTTCTTATGCCAGTCAAATTTTTATTATTTTTTATATTCATAACTTTTATGATCCACATAAAAACATCACAGAGTTTATACTCATTAATAAGATATAATATCTCGTAGGAAAATTTATCAGGAAAACAACTTCAGAAGGAAAACTTATGATATATATTCAATTTTTTATGTTATATATTATGATGCATTTTTTCTATTAAAAATGTATCCTTTTATGTGTAAATATATGATGCTCCACGGTTCAAAATTTCTAGGTCAGCCACTAAAGGCAAATCAAAGATAAATTTAAAATATCTTGCTTGAAAATATACTGATAAATACATTATGGTATTAAAAACTAAATCAGATCAATAGGTTGAATTAATGAACCATTCAAGTAGCCGGTCAAACATTTCAATTGAACCAGAGAAATGAACACAATCAAACCCATCAATCTAATTTTGAACCAATATAACTTGGCCAAACCGGCGGATTAAGCAGTTATGATGGTTAAAAAAATTGAGTTGAAGTGTAACTTTTTCTCTCGATCAAAATCTTTCCAATATTTGGGAAAAGATTTAAAAATCTGGAGGAATATATAATTGACAATAACAAGCCTATTCAGTGAATTGCGTTAACTCACAATTTGGATCATAAATTATAAATTTAAGAGCAATTTAAATTTTAAACTCATATTTAATGTATTTTAAACCTTAAAAGATTAGATTTGAGGTAATTTGGCCCCCGCTATACTCAACATCCGTTACTTTTGGCGACAGGCCTGTGTAGTATATATTCATCCGGCACCATGTTCTCTCTCCCTCTTTCTCAGTTTTGGCTTCTCTTCATTTCCTACTCTCTTCATTTTCTCTTGAATTTTCATCTCAATCATTAATCTATTTTAAATAGTTGAGATTTGATGTTTATAAAATTATTATTAAAAAATAATAATTTTATAAAATATCAAATCTCAACCATTAAAATAGAACCAACAATTAAGATGGAAAGGAGAGGGAAAAAATGGGGATAATTTGGGTCCCTCTTTCTCTCTCTCAATAATGGGAATGCACAAATGATAAAGGAATAAACAATGTTTTTAAAACTAGATTGAATATTAAATCAGAAAGATCAACGATTCATCGATTCACATAGTTTAACTAGGTTAGATTAATAGTTGAATTGGTGATATAATAATTAAATTAAAAAAATTATATATATATATAATAATCTACATATAAAAAATAAATATAAAATTGCTACTTAACTTTAAAATAAAATCAAATATTTTAAGTTTGTCATGACTTAACAAATCACATGATATAACATAATATCAAATTATTAAAAAAAATTGATAAAGAATTTAAAAAGAAAAAGAAAAGGGGCATTTTGTTGAACATAAAAACCGAACTCAGTTCCCGGCTTGATCTCAGTTCTTGATCTAAAGCAGTCCAATCTGGCCCAACTCTTCAAATGATTTTTTAACTTGACCGAACAGTTAGCCTCATCGATCGATAGTTCAATCAATATATTGTTTGGTCCGGTTTGATTTTTTAATCATTGAGAATAAATAAGATCCACCATTCTGATCAAATTTCAAATGCGGTGGAAGCTTTAAACTCTTGATCAAATTAAAACCTTTATCTCCTCACTACCATCCCATTAATAGGGATTCGTTTTTATGCTCATCATCTAAAAGAAATTGAGCCATCCAAATTTTTTTAATTTCAATTTTATTTTTATAAAAATAAAAATTTACAAAATTTTTATAAATACATTCATCATCAATCTGAACAATAATGATTAATCTGAGTGATTCAATTTAATGTTAAAATTTTTATAAATTGAATATCTAGATGTATTCTGAACAGTCAAATTTAATATTAAATTTTTATTTACAAGATTTAAATTTAAAATTTTATTTTTTTATTTTTATTTTATATTAATTAAAATAAAAAATATTAAAAAAATTTAATATTGAATCTATATTGTCCAAAATCTATCTAAATAATCAATTTATAAAAATTATAATATTAAATTAAACTACCTAAATTAAATTGGTATTGCATAGATTGATGATAAATATATTTATAAAAAATTTAAAAATTTTTATTTTTATAAAATATAAAATTAAAATTAAAAAAATCTTTGGACAGGTCAGATTTTTTCTGAGTTACGAGCACCTTGCTGCTAAGCACCGAAGACGGACCCATTTAACGGACGATAGCTGTCATGGCAAAGTGGTGGCGCTCCGCCGCCAGTTACCACCGAGCAATGGCGAATAACTGTGAGGAGTCTTCGTTCTCGTCAAGATTCCAATATGCTTTCTACCAATCGATCCAAGCTATCCCGAAAGAGTACATTGGTAGTCGAGTCTCTGCCAGAGACAGATTCCAAGGTTGAATTCCCGCCGCTGTTGAGTACCAGAATCTTAGTAAAAATGCTGTCGTCCAATCGGCGTCCAGGAAGCGTTTGCTTGCCGCATAGAGGAAGCATATTAAGGCTGCTCAATTCCGCGGACCTTCCTTTCTTCTACTCGACTCAGTTTCCTCTCCAGATCCGTGCTGGCTCTGGGTCTTCCCATTTGCTCGAGTTTGGAACTGTTCTTCCGATTAAGGTTTTCATTTTATTGCAAGTTTGAAGAATTTGGAGATCGGCTATTAATTAAACTGCCATGGGAATCACGCAAATGAAAAATTTGGCTCAACCCTACTTTGTTGAAGCCACGTGGTATAATAGCAATTAGAGTTTGGCGGCCTGTGGTCAACCCCGCTCTCATTTCCAAGAATGAAATTCCGATCAAAACACAGAAATGAAATCTTGGTTTGATTCTAAAATGAATGTGAACTGCGGCATATAGCGCGAACGTTGGGAGTGGTGAAAGTAAAAGGTGAGAATTCTTGGAAGATCATAGAGAATATGTAAGAGAGGAGGAGGAGGAAGAGAAGCAGAAGACTGGCCGTCGAAGTGGACGCGTTTCAGGCTCATCAACTCGAACAAATGAAGAGAGAAGGGGGGGATGAAAGAGAGACGCTGACTTGTGAGAGAGGGACGCTGAGAGGGAGAGAACAGGATGTCAGATGCACATATGGACCCACCATTAAAAGTAACCGTCGTTTAGTCTAAGGTAACTGTGTGGGCTTGATTGTTCCAAATCAAATGCTTTAGATTCAAAATGCAATAAATGCGAGTTTAAAATTTAAATTGCTCCTGAATCTACAATTTAAAGTTTAAATTACTATTCAACCCTAATGAATTTGTAAACCATCAGAGAGAACATTGGGAAGTGGCGTTTTGGAGCAGGATTTGCCTGGAACGACTGTGATTTTACACAGCTCAGCAAATATGAAGCAAATCATTAGTAGATCTCTCCCAAATTATTGAGTCGTAGCTCACTTGACAACCCAACGCCCTTGGCCAACTGTTTTCTGGAAGCTTTGTGGGATACTAGGAGTAAGAGGATATTCTGTAACGAGTTTCCTAGTACGAACGTGCTCGATATTTTTAGAGAATCAGATTAGTTGTTAGCAACCAATGCAGGGATGAGAAAAATTATTTTGGAAAGTGACACTAACTACGTGTGTACGTGGTTGCCATCATCAAGAAGCTCCTCAAGAATTTATTTTTATTTTTTTTCTTTTTACGACGTTTGCATGGAGAAGGAAAAACAGAAAAAGTCTCTCTGGGAAACTTGTTTACGTACCTTCTCGCCGGAAGAATGCCTTGGAGGCTGACACAATATCCATTGTAATTCGCAGACCTGATGGCATCCACGACGGCGTCTTCGGCTTCCACGGTGGTTCGGAAGCAGGGGAACGCGGTAGGGTCACCGTGGCCGAGACGGATGACCGGCCTTTTATCTTCTTTGTTTAAATTTTCCATCAAAGGGACGATGGTGTTTCGTATGGATCGTGAAGATGCTTCCACCAGATCTTCATTGCCCTGGAAGCACCACTTGCTTGATCCTTTAACCTCCATCTTCTTTTGCAGATATCAGCTTCAGCACAGCTCTCCTTCTACACCTCTTTCTCTCGTTCTGTCTGAATATTGTGCGTGCTTGGAACGCGCGCGCGCGCTCACAATGTGTGTGTGTGTGTGTGTGTGTGTGTGTGTGTGTGTGTGTGTGTGTGTGTGTGTGTGTGTGTGTGTGTGTGTGTGTGTGTGTGTGTGTGTGTGTGTGTGTGTTCAGAGTGAGATATATACGCTATAGTACGCATGGAACAGATATTGATACAAACAAGATTGGTTGGTTTGGATTTAGGGAAGAATAAAAATAAAATACTCTATCAAATTATATTTATAAAAAGAGAGAGAAATTTTTTAATCATATTTGTAAGTTATAATTTCTCACTTTATCCTCCATTAAATATTAAAATAAAAATATATATTATTAAACTATATTTATTTAATAAAAATAAAATTAAAAATTTATTATATTTTTAAACAGAGTTAATAAATTTTAAAATTTTTTATTTTAATAAAATATGTTAGAAATTTTTTATAAATAAAATTAGAAGAATGTAAAAGAAAAAAATATATGAAAAAAGAAAATTCTTTTGACAGGTTATGGACTACTAAACATAAACATTTCTTCCAATAAAAAATTAAATGTTAATTATCCTGTTTTAAGGGATTAACTGATTTTGCTAAACCCAACTCTATTAGTAAAAAAATTTAAAAATAGTAATTTTTTTATATTTTTAAAAATTTCTCTTTTAATCTCCTTCCAAAATAATTGGTTTTTTTATTTTTAAAAATTTTATCTTCCAATTTCCTTCCTCCTCGAAGGAAGGATGGATTAATTTGACTGCCTGCAGGAACCGTATCTGTATTAACCTCTGGAAAAGATACGGATGCGTTTGAGGCTTTGAGCCTTCTTATCATTGTTATCCAAATGGGTATTTTCAAGTGCCATGCTTTTACTTTGGCCCCAAAGAAAAAAAATAAGTGTCATGCTTTTACGGGGTAAAGGTCTCCGACGCTCGGCACTCTTCCAACTTTACCATCCGATTTTCTAGTAACAGGCACTAGTTTTTGAAAAAGAGAGAAGAAAACGAGGGCTGAAAGAGTGAACAAAAAAATAGAAAAATGGAGGTAAACAGGTAATACTCTTATTTATGGGACAAAATGGATTTTGTTACTGAGACGAAAAAAAATCTGATCTTCGATTTACATTGTCCTCTTTGCTCCCCATCACCTTCATCCGTTCCAGCGAGCGCCGCTGCCAGTTGCTAATGCGGCGGGCGGCAGAAACGATGGAGCCGATCTTATCTCGTATGACATGTTCAGCTGAGTCTGAAAGCAATAATTGAAGAAAAAAGAACGTGGTAGTATAGGACAAAGTTACGAGCAGAAGAGTAACATTGGCCCTGGCAGTGCAGACTTTGCACAAGGAAAAGACAAGAACACAGATGGCGTGTCGTGAAGAGGGGGGAAAAAAAAAAGTAACTTCGGACCTTGTCAGTGCGTGCCGACGCTACAGGAGATGGATCCCTCCTTTTTTTCTTTCCTCATCCCCTTCCAATATAGTCCAGCTCTCTCATTTTCCCCTTGTCAATTTTGAGTCATTTCAACGTTAGCTTTCAAGGACAGAGGGAAGGCAGATATTTTTTTTTTTACCAATTAGAGACTTTAAATTGATTGTGTGATAAAGTTATATCGCTTGACATAAATTTCATATATTTACTTTAATGTGAAGGAAGTTAAAAATATTTACTCTCTCTATTAAAAATATAAAATATTTTTAATTAAATTTTATTTCTTAATAAAATAATTATTTATTTTTAAATTAATTTTATCTTTTTTATTTTTTATCTATTAAATTTCCTACAATAAATATAAAATTATATTAATAAAAAATACTTTTAAAAAATAAAAATTACATTTTAAAAAATTAAAAATATCTTATATTTTTTAACATTTAATTTCTCAAAAAATGTCTTATTTTAATGTAAAGAGTATATCACACTTTGATAACTAATTTTATTTTTGCCAATATTTTTTAAAAATATATATTTTTATCAAAATACAAGTCAATTTTATTAATCATTAAAAAAAACACTACACACACAAGCCAATAAAATAAAGCCACTCAAAACCTAAACAAAATATACTAACACACAAACTTGAAAAAAAAAAATATTAGAACAGTTTAAACAAAGGAAAAGAAACAAAACCACTTAAACACTTTATCTTTAAATGCATTTAATTACTATGTTGCTAGTTCGAGCGTTCGAGCACTTTAATTTAATGGTTGGATCATAAAAGTCATAACCCATTCACCTTTTTTATTTAATTTGATCTTATTTTTAAAATACTAAGTGGAATAATTTAGAAAGGATAATTTTATAAATTGAGATTCGTGTTTGAATTTTCGATTTCTGCTTGCGGTCAATCAGAATTAGCATTAACATGCTCGCCAATCTAATTGTCTCTATGTTTTTATATATGTTTCTAAATATTACATGTTAACTGTTTTTTTTTTACCAAAACAAAGAAATGATTGAAATCTTTTTTTTCATAATTTTATTGATAAGAATTAAAAAGTAAAGCTTAAAACAATTTTTTTTATAATCACTAATCAATAGCGTTATTCTTGGTATGAATTATGGGGTTGTTGTCAAATGATTGATTGTATGAATATGGGCGGCTGCAAAGAAATTGGGGGCAAATACACCCCTGGACTTAGAAAAAAATTACAAAAAAAGTTCAGATATTTTCATATTTTGTTTCGCTTGATTTAACTTTGAAGATGTTTGGATTTTAAAAAAATTTATGCTCTCTTAAAATTAAAAATGATATTTTTAATTGTCCTAAATAATGGTAGAAAAAAATTTTTTGTTATAAAATTTGTGAAAAATTGATTGTTGAATGTCTGAGAAATTTATTGATAAAAAAAAATGATTACTTAACAATTTCATGACATGAAATTAGGTGGATAACTATCATTGTCTATAAACATGTGATTCTCGGGACCATTCTAAAAGCAACAAGTGCTAAGTTCATGACAGATAAAGGTTCAATTTAAGTTGATAAGGATTTATTTTATAGATCAAAAATCATACTATTTTAGTATGACAACCTTATTAATAGGTAACCTAGAAGCACTCCTCAAGGATAGAACTAGCCTTTGAATTAAAGGGGGCATTTTTTTAAAAAAATCAATATATATCATTCATTTAATTTTTGCATAACTTAAAAAATCAAATAATAAAATAAAATAAAATAAAATATTTAAGCTTATATATACAATTGTTTTGGAAAAAAATCATATAATTTTCAACTCATCACTTAATCTATACTCTCTTCGTTAAAAAATATAAGGTATTTTTAACTGAATTTTATTTCTAATAAAGTAGTTACCTACTTTCAAACTAACCCTATCTTTTTATATTTACTCCTATTAAACACCCTATATTAAATATAAAATCACTAGCAATGTGAATATTTAAAAAAAAAGACAATAATTACACCTCAAAAGATTAAAAATACATTACATTTTTTAATATTCAACTCTTCAAAAAATGCCTTATATTTTAAACAGATAGAGTAAATGTTTCTTATCATTAATATTTTTTATTTTTTTAATTTAAAACCCAATTATTCTTATTTTATTGACAAAATTCATTAAATACGTAAAGTTAATACCTACGTTTTTTCCAATAATAAATCATGTAAAATTATACACCACTACATATTGATGATTTGGAGCGAAAAGGATAAATATTCAAATTTTATAAAGAAATTAAATCAATATACAAGATATAAATTTTAAAAATATTTTCCATATACAAAATAATCTAATTAATATTTTAAGCAAATTAAATAAAAAATTCTATATTAATGCAAAGGAAAATTGAAAATAATCCTCTAAATTAGATAATAACAACTTGGCCCTCAAAATGTCATAATTTTAATAAAGTCTCTAGGGACCTCTAGATCAATAAATTTAAAATGAAAAATTATTTTATCTTTACTGAAAATAACAAACTCTAATTACAACTTTTATTCTGTAAATCACAAAAGCTGAACAAAATCATAATTTATAAAGCATAATTTTTGTTATTGAAAAATAAGCCATAATCACAATTTTTACTTAAAGAATAGCAACTTTCATTTGTGAATCACAAGAATTAAACAAGAAATCATAATTTGTCAAGTATAATTTATATTATTAAAAAATAAATTTTTAAAATAACAAACTCCATTCATAACTTTTGTTTAAAAAATTACAAAAATAAACAAGAAATCACAACTTCTCAATATGGGTAAAATGATATTTTTAATTTAAATTTATTGACAAAGAGATCCCTAAAGACTTCAGTGAATTTAGTATTTTCAAAGATCAACTTGTCATTTATATAATTTGAAGAGATTTTATTATCATTTTTCTAATGCAAATGCTCATTTTTATAATAATTAATATGTGTTTTTCAAATAAATAAAAACCAATATATATCCAAAAGAATGTACTCTCTCTCCATTAAAAACAAAGTATTTTTTAACCAAATATAACCCTTAACAAATTAGTTAACAATCTTCAAGCTAATAATATTTTTCAATATTATTTTTATTTAATAGGATATTTTACTTTAAAATAAGTACTTGCCCTTAAAAATGTATGGCAATTTTAATAGAATATTTTTAAATTAATACTATCTTTTCACATTTTTTTTATTTAATAGGGTGTTTCACACTTTAAAATAATTTGTTTATTGTAGCCATTTTTTGAAGAAAACATTAATTGCACGTTAAAACACAAAATTTTTTTTAGTATCTAACTCTAAAAAAATATTATATTTTTAAATTAAGCAAGTATGAAGTAATTTTTATAAAATTAAGCAACTAAAAAAATAAATATATTGGAAGAAAAAGTAGAGACAAGAGAATGAGATAATTTTTTATGGATTATTGATTGTGCCATTCATACAAATTACATGCCCTATTTATAGACATGATTTTACACGTCAAGGGTTACATAAATGATAAAAGTAAATAAAGGATAATCAACTCTCATGATGGTGGGAGTTTCATGGGAGGGCAATCAACTTTCGTGATGGTGGGAGTTTC